CTTTTGGCATTCCGCGAAAACCAGTATTCCCCCAGTTTTTACATGGTTTCAGCATGCGCAAGTTGGGAAACATAGTAGGTAGGGGGTGGGGGCGCCTACTACTACTGCTACTACTAGGGTTGAGTTGATGTTTTGCCTGCTTTTCGGTTGACCCGGAACTCGACCCTCACACCTGCAGAGTTTATGTGAAAAATCAGCCCCAAACTCATACCAGAAGAGGCTTTACAGTCACCTGGACTGCTGATTTCGGATGTTGGCTCGACATTGAAAACTTCGCCTGGTGGACCTGCTATCCCCTGCCCGTTCTGCGTTTTCTGTGTCTTCTCCACCACTTTGACCGGGTCGTTGCAACCAGCCCGCTATCCTAAAACCGCCCGGAAGCCCCAGCTGCCATACCTTTGAGGATTCCGCAAAGCTGTGGGCTTGCAGAAATTTTGAAGTCCAACGCAACGCATTCCACCCTCCCCGAAGACATGTTCCCCGATCGAGGGTTACGGATTCAAAGGCGGCATGAGGTTCAAGGTTTGAGAAAGAATTTTCTCTTGCTGTCGTTTCTTGGTCTAGGAAGCCCCTGCTACAGCTAGAGGTTCTTGCATAGAATGTTCGTGGCATCCGTATCTTCTGTACATGAAAGCCCACCGGAAATGTTGATGCACCTGTGCCTTTAAGAGTGATGCTGCATACATACTCTGAGGGAGGGTCGCTTGTGAGTATCTGCCTTGGGGTTAGAATTTTGAGAGCAGTGGAGCGTGCCCATGATTGTGACTGTGCAGGGCATTGCGGAGCCTTTGCCGACCTCCTCGCTTTTGGGCTTGATATTCTGACTGAAGACGCGGAGCATAAGAGCTTCCAGTAGATAGTTCTCAACACCCATCCGTGTTCAGCTTTCAGTCGACGGTTGTGCCTCACATGAGCCAGCTGTTTCATGGATGGGCTGCCTAGGCAATGTGCTGTGCATGCTTCCTCTCAGTAACTGTTTGTATCTAAGTGTGCACCAGGCTTGCGCTGACTGCTGGCACGAGTTTCTAGGGCCTGTGCACACTCTCTGATCAGGGTACGTGCAGGGTTCACGGGTGTTCCCCAGACAAATATGGGGTTTCCCCAAATTTACGGGTAGTAAGGATTATAATTAGTCTTTTGGAGTCTACACTGGGGTCCTTGGAGTTTAGACAACTTCCCAGATGTGTTGCCAAGCTAAGGTTTGGGAATTTCGCCGGCAGAAGTTTTCAGTTTACGCGAGCGCAGGCTTGGTCGTCGACGTATCTTTACTACGACCGAAAACATTACTGCAAGGACAAAGTGCCAGATGATGCGCACGCAACAGATGTCGTCACGCTCTGAGGTTATACCTGTTGCTACTTATCCAATGCACGTTAAACCCATTCATACCCCGATTCAGCCTGAAGGCATGGAATCTCGTTTATCATACCTGCGCAGTTTGTTCTTCCACCGGACCAGGGTGCATGTAAAGTCCAACATAGACTTTTGGATCCGAAGTCGAATGTCTTGGCGCTTTCCCAATTATGCTGAATTTAGGTTTCCTTGGCGCTGGCAGCAGCGGGCTGCGCAGCCCCTTGATGGCAAAGGTCTGCCAGGTGTTTTGACTTGGCCAATTGGTATTGTGTTCGTGGCATCCCAGCCAGTAATGGGAAAGCCTAGAATTCAGAACTTCAAGCTCTGCTCAGGTCGCCATGCGCGCGGCCTCGGAGGCTTCTGAGGCAGCAGTAGAGGTGAGGACCTCTGCTTTGCTTTGCATTGCTCTGTTGTGTAAGTAATTTTGAACTGGGGTTTGCTTGACATCAAAAACGATGGCATGGAATCCTGGAAAGGAGCAGGAGGCGGAGACCAAGACAGAGGAGAGCGGCTTCGTGGTGACTCAGCAAGTGCAGACAGACTTGGTGGGTTGAAAGTTTGTGGAGCAAAGTTTCCATGTGGCGCGAATTATGAAGTCTAGCGCGCAGCTCATAGGCTCGTAGGCGTTGCAGAGGAGCATGAGCATGCTTTCTGCCAGGACAAGTTCGGAGTACTGGCTTACGTTGCACTTTGGTATGCCTTCAACATTGGCCGCCCACCAAGATCTTCAGAGCTGTCTTGCAGCTGGCAATCATTGCTTTGGACCCTTCCGCTCTTGAAAGGCTACAACATCTACAACAAAAAGTCACTGAGTCTCGGCCAGCTGCCAGTCGTGTCGGTAAGACACAGCCTGATACAGCCTGATGGATGGTGCATAGGATATTCTAAGATTCTAAGCCTTCTCTGTAGCTTCAAGCTGGAAAAGCTAAGGATGGCCTACCCCTACCCCTGGGCCTGCGCGCTCTGGCAGATGTGCTTTGGATGGCTGGTCTTCATGCCTCTTTGGATCACCGGCTTTTAAAGAGCCACTTTTTCAATGAGAAGCAAATGTACCGTAGGCACCACAGTAAACATCTATCAATCTAAGGATCTTGCACATCCGCAAGGCTTGGGACCTGTGTTTATGCCACTCCTTCTGTATTGGCCCACAGGATTTGCTTGAATTTTAAAGAGTGCATGACACTCTTATTGTGCCTGGAGCTGCTTGGACGGCCTGCTCGCAGACGCCGAAGCTCACTGCCGCGCAAGCTGTGACGCTGGCGCCCTCCGCGCCCGGCGGCTTATTAGCTTTTGCATCAGGGCTCCAAGATGAAAATTTGCTCCTCCCAGCGGAGGTTGGGCCATTTAGCCACGCATGTCGGGGCAGCCAGGGCCTCAGATTTGCCTTTGTGACTTCAAGCCCAAGTTAGAACCTACGGCAACTCTTGCCCTGACCAGCTTTGGCTTGAGGTGGTGGCATTCCATGCCGGGGCAGTGTCGTTCGGACACATTGTGAAGGCTCGCAATACCTGGTGGATTCCCAAATGGTCTGGGTCGGGGACACCCGTTCTGTGAAGTGTTTGTGATGTGTGTAATGTTGTATAGGTGATTTGCTAGACTAGGCTGACCTGGTGAAAAGACCCTTGTCCCCAACAACCGTTTTGACGAATGGGAGTGCAGAGCTACGACACCTCCGTTGGGTCAGATGTCAATGTGCGGCGAGCATCGAACAACTGCAAGCTCAAACAAGGAATATGACTAGGCCATGCTTATCTCAAGATCCATGGCAGAAATCCCAAACTGGCTTCAGCACGCCCTTTTTACAGTATCACAAGAGACGCTCGGCGCGGTACACTCCCCTACGTCCCCCACAGGCAGATGGGCACTTTGTTGCATCGTGTTGCCTGACAGGCCTCCGAGCCGGTGGTCTCCTCCTTCCTGAACTTCGCCTTTCTGGGTGAGGCCTCCCATGAGCTGGCTGCTTGCTTTGTTTTGCAAAGACACGGTAAAGGACTAGAGGTATGGTCAGCTTTTGACACCAGAAATGCAGGTCATGCCCTGGCAAGTCTACGCCTCGTTGCTGCCTGCCAGACATGGTTCTGGCGTTTCAATATGTTTCAACATAGTGGCTCTGGCAAGCTCTGGGTTCAGAGTCAATCGCTGGCAGCCCTCGGGCCCTACTATTCTTCCAGAAGTTGACCTTGTTATGGTCCCTTGCTTCTCTCACTACGCCCTCCAAAACGGATCTTCAACCTCACCCTCCTCAGCAGAAGTAGCCTCAAAAGGCACTACAGCAAAGCTAACATGACTAATATTGTCTTAATGTTGCTCGTGTTCAAATTTGAGCTGTAATTACCTTACAGGGTGTTGCCAGCACGTGGGCTGTGCTCTTGATTGGGGAGGGGTTCCTAAGGTAGAGTCATCTAGTCATGAGGTAAGACTTTCGTCGTGGTTTTTGTCGACTGCATATGAGGGTTGCTTAGGAATACTGGATGTCGTGCTGGAGAAGAATCCTACCTGACCTACGGGCCATCTTCCTCCTTTCCCTAGTCTTTTGTACTTCGCGGGCTTGGTTGTTCTCAGGCTTCCCATCATCGGCGGAGTTGTTTTGGCCAGCGCTTCCGAGCTCTCCTTCAACTGGCCGCTCGCCTGAGGGGAAGCCCTTTCTTAGGGAGAGTGGTGCGGGTTTAGGGTTCAGGAAGAGTAAAGGAAGATCATTGCAACACTTGTAGCAACTGGAATTGCATCAGCGTCAGTTGAGGTGCGGCCCTTTAATGATCTTACAGGGTCCAAGGCATCAGCGGTGATTTGATCTCGCTGCGTTTGAGCCAGGATGCTGGCGATGCGCCTTTGCTTGAGTGTTGGTGCGAAGTCCCCATCATGGAAGTATAGCAGACTATTCGGTACCAATACTTGTCAATGAAAAACAGAAGAAAACAACAGGAGAGTCCGGCCAAGTTGCCAAGCCAAGCCTCCACTTGGTAGAGGGCGCTGCAGGCTGTGCTTCGGGTCTGCAATGGCCTCGAACTTGGGATCGGCATCGCGCGCTGTCTATAGCAAAAAGGCAGGTAGACAGCAAGCGCCAGGAACTTCAAGCACATTTACGCTTTCAGTACTCGACAGGTCATGAGCAAGGGCAACATAGGCCCAACACTCAGTTCCGTACCAGTCATGTTGCGACAGTAGTTTTCAAGGTCGGAATGCAATTGTAATCAGGTGAAAACATGGATTCAGCAAATGTTTACGCGGCTCGGGTCTGAGCAATCCAACCAGCAAAGGGACAGCCAGCCCAGCTGTTGTACAAGATTGTTCAACTAATGTGAACATGAGGTCCTCACCATCATGGCTACCTTTATGCTCATTCCCATCTCCCTTGCCGTCGAGGGACCAAGCGTGGCTTGTCTGAGACCTGTATGTACTGACTTGTAGCTTGAGTTGATTTCCTGAGCAGCTGCATAGACGCAACTCTACGTCTCTGAAGCATGTGCGACCATGACTGACACAGCCGCGCAAGGCAATGGTCAAGGGCTTCAAGATTGCTTTCTCTACAGGGCGCATGGGCTTCATGTGGCAGAAGCTGGGCAACAGGATCAACGGATAGACATGCAGAGGGCTTGCATGTTTGCCGTATCCGTACACATTTGTGCAGCTTCTGTTGCGATGGATTGTTGATTTGGTTGGATGGCTTGGTGCAGTTGCGTGCATAAGGATGATTCTGAGCTCGCTGGCTGCAATGGATCTACCACTTCCTCAAGCCACGATTAGCATCACGCGAAAACTCAGGGCAGACCAAAGCCACAGCCAAGGTGGCTTCTTCTATTACATGTACAACGAGGTAGCGTTCCTTGCATTGGGCAAGCTGGACCCAGTGCAACTTGGTTAAGTCAGGGATTGCAGCGGCCAGTGCCCTCCCGGCCGGCATCTAGTAAGAATAGAGTAGCTTCCATCGTCTTTTCCATTACCCCTACATAAGCCCAATGCCTTGTGCTGTGCTGCAAATGCTCCACACCTGCTAAATCTGCGAGGTCCCATGCGGTGTGCAACACCATGAAGCGTGTGGGGAGCTTAAGGTTACCAATGGGGTCCGGGCTGGGGTGAGAAGGCATGTCTAAGTCGGTCCTTCAGGTCTGAAGGGGCTCGTGCACAGAAACCGACAGCATGTATGCATCTGAAGTCAAGCGCGCATCCCGACTGCGTGAGTGATTCCTGCTCTCATGCATAACTCCGCGTATGCGCTTTGAAGCTCTGACCGTGAGCCTGCAGAAGACTGCCTGTGTCTGGTTCCTCTTTTGGCGAAGAGCATCCTGAGGTGGTGATCATCATCACCGCCATCGTTGTTTTCCGTACCCCGGTGACGGGCCTGGGTGTGCTGGGCAGCTCCGTTGCCATTCTAGGCGGGCCTTGGTACACGTGTGCAATGTGGATGTGTGAGACCTCTGCAGGTTTCAATCTTGGGGGTGAAAGATGACGTACGCCACATTATGGATTTATTTTGGACTGGCTTGCGGCTTGCGGCCTGCGTCAAGCATAGAATTGTTGATGTAAAGGACAGCAAGTATCTAGAACAAAGCTGAGCGGCTTACGCCGTGCTCAGCTTCCTAGAGACTGCTCTGCAAGGCACCCTGATGTACTCCCTGAGCAAGACCAAGTATGCAAAGCCGCCTGGACCACTTTGGCTGCTGCAGCTGCTGCCGCTGCTTGCAAAGCTGCAGATCTCATTTCAGTACTTGCGGATCCAAGCGCGTTTGTTCATGTCTGCTCAGTACTCTTTGCAGGTGATTTCGCTTCGTTGTCTCCGCGGCTCGTGGAAGATTTTCTGAGAAATCTAGTCCCCACACCCAGGAACCGGATTACCGGTTTCTTTTAACATCAATTCATTGCATGAACCATATGAAGCCTGTACAGTGGTCCATTCCCACAAGAGGCGCTCTCTTGCATGCGCAAGAAAGCAACTTTGCTCAGCTGGTTTGGAGAAATCCGCATCTCATCGGGTTATGCTTGCGCACCTCACAAAAAAGCATACATCTTGGCCTTGTCTTGTTTGCCGCTACGTGTGAAGGTTTAGCCTCGTGCGCGCTGCCCAAGTAGTTACAGTGTCCACCATCTTTAAGTCCTTTGTTGTTTTCCTGCCTGCGGTGGGAAGCTCAAGAGGAGATGCAGGGCTGTAAGGCTTTCCACTAGGATGTTTTCTTTCTCCCGTTGCCATGTTCTCGCTCAAAGGGAGACGCAGAGCATCATGAACACGCAGCCAGCATGTGCCTGATGCTATGATAGTTAGCAGCATTGACTCCCCATCCGAAACATCATGCAGGCTACCGGAGCCGAAGCGTGCACAGAAGCATTGACCTGACCACTTCCGGCTTTACGTTCAGAACTTCCATGTTGCACGTTGGAGAGGACCTTGAAGAGCGCTGGCATTCAAAGAGCAAGGGCCAAACAAAGCCTCTACTGCTCACAGAGAAGACCTTGCATTGCTGGGGCATGGTTCTCACCCACACGCGCTTACCATGGACGCGACGGAGCAACTTCTACGAGCGTGGTCTGTCAATGTGGAGGAAACGGATTGGATTGTAAATGACGCATGGACAGCCCAAGGTTGCAAGCTGAAATTGGACAGCATCCTGAGATACGCCCGCAACGCAAGTTCGTGACCGCTGCGAGGACCTGCGGGCCAACCCTGCGCAGCTGAGAGATGCGCCGGGCTCCTTGCCGGTTCGGCTGCTTGCAGCATGGAAGTTGGCCCATGTACTGATGAACCCAGGATCCCCGACTTCCGTGGCATCGGGTACAAGGTGGTGGCAAAGGCAAACCATGATTCGCCATGCATGGTCAGCATGAGTCTGAGAACATACTCGAATCGTCGAAGATGTTGGATGCATTGGTGTTTTCTTCAACTCCAGGCTTGGAGTGCTAGTGGGATTGATCTTAGGACAGGGTATGGGGTGTTGAAACCTTACGACTCATGACACTCAGAAGTAAACCTGTTGTTCTAGGCAACCAACCAGCTTTCCAGGTGGGCAACCGTCTCCTGAGCATTTGGGCCGGAGACCGGACAGAGTACACGCTGGGGGTGACCATCAGGACTGCTGAGAAAATCGAGCCAGGTCTTTTCCTAAGCAGGATAACTCCAGAGAGCCAACAAGTAGGATATCCCGCAGCTGCTGCACTGTACATGCTACAGAGCCGGACCAAGTTTCAGTAGTCCAGAGTTGAGTGGCGCAGGGATGAGGCTGGGCCGAACCACTCGGGCGGCCTGTGCTCCGCCCCCTCTATGCAGGCATGACTGAAGTTCCATGTGAGTGACGGTCAACGGACGAAGATAGGGAATTCCGTGAGATGCAGGAATCGCGCACTCCCCAAAAGCGTTTGTGCAGGACCCCCCCCAAAAGCGATACCGCTCAATCTAAGACGAAACCATGACTGTGTTTTGGCCGAACGCCCCCAAAAGCGATACCCTCTTTCATCCAGCGCAGACCCCCTAGAAGCGATAGGAACCCCCCCTAGTTGTTCATGGCGTCGGGTTATTCAAGTAGTTTCGGCGGACGCTCAAGTTTCTTTTTTGATGGAGACAGTGTCTTTGACTTGCTGAAGAAGGGACCTGACATCCAGGTACGTTTGCCGCACTCAGGGTGCCGCTCTCCGGCACAGGGTCCCGGCGCCACTGGGCCCAGCCAGCAGCGGCAGATGGAGCGTTTCTGTACAGGAGTTATCACATTTCAGCAGATGATGCCTGACTTATTGAGGTAGAAGCTGCAGGGGCTCCTGTAAGATGTGGCCGCAAGACGTTGATCTTTGTTATTTGCTAAGGCGCCGTGGAGGCTTGTTCTTTGCTCCGCGACTGCTCCTGCGCTGCCGCTGCGAGGCAGATGAAGTCCCAGCAAGCGTGATCGATGGAGTTTGGGTCCCTTTATGCATTTGGTGGCTGCTCCTTTGTCGCGGCACATGCTCGTTGCTGAAGCACATTCGTGGATGGAGGCGCAGGCAGCTCTTCAGCATCATGGGGCCATATTAGTCCATGGTTGAGCGCATGTCTGGAAGGTTTCCATCTTGAACCCTCAGTAGGTAACGTTTTTTGCGTAAATTTTTCAGGCCACACAGCAGGTTTGGGCTTTTTGCCGAGAATCCAAATGCACCTATGCAAGCTCATGTGCAGGGGCCTTTCGTGGAATATCCAGGCGGCAAAATTGTCAGAGCCTCAGAGGCTGGGCATATGCTTCTCTCCAAGACTTTCAAGGGGTTGCAGCAGACGATTGTTCAACGAAATTGCTTGTGAATGCTGCAATGCTGAAAATTCAGTGCACGATGCCTGAGGCCTGCTCGGCCTTGACGCCCATGGACCTGCAGCCTGTACCCTTAGGCCGCTGCGTAAGCATGCTTGGGGTGGCAGTTCTGGTGTCGCGCCTCACTGAAGGAGCAGCACGGAGTAGCATAGGGCTAAAGCAGCAGAAGCAGACTTCCTCCTAAGCCTATGAACTTGCAAAGACTCACAAACTTGCAAGTTTCCGTGTTGTTTAGTGAGGCTACCTGCACACCTCGCCGCAGCGCGCTGGTGAGCAGAGCTCAGCTTGAGCTGGTGGGCAGGGGATGCAGGGGCTGGTATTCTGTCAATCTCAAGCTATTCTCTAGATTCATTTTTTCCAAAGGCAGTGCCTTCTCCAGTGGCCGCAACCTTCGGTCCAAGCGAAGGCAATCGGGGTTTGATACGGGCTTACATGGATTGCACTTTGCACGCTGATCCTTCGAGAATGTCAGCACGACAAGTGCTAATTTAGAAGATGCAGCGTTGGCACGGTAAGCATGACTGCAGCTGGAGTGAGCAGATCCGGCGCGGATCCTAACTTTTTCCCAATCTCTCCCCTCCACTCCAGAAAGTGATATCATGTCCAGACTCGCTGAGCCTCTCCTGAGCTCATGCAAATGCTAGTTTTATGCAAAGATACTATTTCTCCCAACACGTCGTCCTGTGCGAGTCATAATTATGCTTCTTGGGCCCAAGCTGCTAAGTGGCCAGGTCTCCGCGTGGAGACATCGGCGCTGGAGGCTGAGGCCCCCAAATCAGAAAAATCTAGGATTCAGCTGGGATTTGCAGTGGGTCCAGATCCTACTAGAACTTGAGGTAGGTTTGTTACAGTACATTAAACCTCTACAGGAACCCTCAACGCATGAAGACACCGCATTCATAGAATCCGAAGAACCCAAATAAGCTTTAAATGAGCCTTAATAATCTAATGAGGCCTTAACAGTCCCTATATGTCCCTCATCTTGGAGATTGTTATGTGGGGGGCCCCCTTCCGACCCTATGTGAAGTATATTCACAATAGAGGGTCAGATGCTTCAAGAGTTTCGGTGCTAGAGGCTCATCAAAGCCAGGGTCTGGGCTCTCTGAGTCGCAGCTTGAGCTCGTGACAAGCGTATCAAATCGTATTAAGTCCATCTTGGGACATCAAATGCTATAGAGCTCCGTCAGAGCTTTGCCGGTGGGAGTGTGAGGTTGATGGGAACAGAAAAACAAGTGGACCTCTGTACACAGTGTGTAGTCTCATGGAATCTGTTTTTCTGGACGTAGTTTCATGAGCGGCAGTCAGCGATGTTTGCTGTAGGAAGCATTAGCTGGAGGCGAGAGTGATTCGCTTGTTGCATTCTGGAGGTGGCTGAGCTTGAGCGCCGGCTGGGCTACCGATGAGCTGCGCAAACACTCGATGACTCTTGGCTAACGACACCTTGTTGGGTGGAAAGCTGGCTGGACCATTTGTACCAGCGCAAACATGCTGCTGAGCATCCTGCAGCCCGTTACGATCTTGGTAACACATAGAAGCTGGACGCAGCAGGTGCAGCCGCATTCCCCAAAGGCTGTTTTGTGGACAAAGCGCCACCATGCAACATGGAGCAATGTTTCGAACGCTGAAAAGAGAGCTATGTCAGATGTGTTACATCCCAAATGATTTGAAAACCCTCCAGAGTCATTCACACCGCAGCTTGCTCAGAGCTCTTGTGACCTGGTGGCCCCAGTCACCTGGCTCCCCGAGAGCGCAGCATGCAAGGCATGGGCAGCTACCGTCCAGCCATGCACTCACACGTGTTAGTTCCCGAGACCGTGCCCCTGGCAGCAGCTGACGTGGTAACGTCACCCACGTCGCAAGCTACGACTCGTCAGAGCTCAGTTGCGGGGGAAGCAAGTGAATACGTGTACTGTGGCATCGACTGCAAACCTGTTCTCCTGCCAGCTTTGGTAGTGTCCACCTTGATCGGGGCTCTTTGCATTCTGCTAGTTCAAATTCCTCTGTTCTGCAAGGAAAATGCACTGCCACAGGGCCCGCTGTTAACAGCTGTTAGCATTTGCAATCCTGCTCCACGCTCTCACAATTTCACTGATGTTGCTGGTCAGATTGCACTCAACAGTTGTGCATATGTAAGCATTGCTACATTCGAAGCCCTCGAAGTTCTGGAGTGAAAAGTGTTGCATGGTAGCGGAGCCATTGAAGGTCCACCCTTTGGGGACCGGGCGCTTCTTTGGCTCGGGGCAGGACCCAGACCCAGGTACAGGCCAGGACCCAGAGCCTTGTAGTGTAGGCTAGAGGCCTCAGTAAAACTAAGGCCTCACGAGCCTTGGGGTTCTTGTTGTTTCACCACATAGTTGCCTTGGTGGCATTCTTGCTAGTTGGCTGCAGCTCACTCTGCCCACCTAGCTTTAGGATTGCTGCAGTTTACTTTGCCAATCCCAAATCCCAAAGGATAAGTCACATTTTCAGGGCGCCTCCGAACTTTTACATCAGTGATTGTGGGCCTGATTTGGTCAGCGCAGGTGGTTACAGTTCTATCAGCGCGAGCGTTGGTTACAGGAGTTTCTCTGGCAGGTTTTTACTTGTTGGATATTTGGTCAAGTACAGAATGCAGCAAGATGGCAGTGCAAGTGGATCGGCAGATGGTGCAGCGCAAGCAGCAGCAGCAACAGCAGCCGCACAGGCTCAAGCAGCTGGAGCATTGCAAGAACAAGTGGATAGGATGGTGAGACAAAGGCTTGAGCAAGCTCTTGGAAGCGTCTTTGGCAAGGTGCTGTCTGCTACTGAGCGGGCAGCTCAGGCTGCTGAGGCCCAAGCTGCCTCAGAGCCAAGACCGATGGGCTGATCAAAGCAATGAAGATACATGCTTGGAGACCAAGCAGCAGAGAAGATGAGCTGAAAACGTGGCGCGATTGGTATTTCCAGTTGACCACTTGGCTTATTGCCAATGACAGCAACTATGAGAATGAAGTTTCGCAAATTGATGCCGATAGCCCTGTTGACCATGATCTCTTGGAAGATGATGCAGTGCATCGAAGCCAGAAGTTGTATGGGCTTTTGTGTTCACTCGTGAAAGGCAGACCTCTTCTGCTTATTCGGTCCGTGGAAAAGGACAAGGCCGGCTATGAGGCCATTCGTGTTCTCAAGCGGGAGATGGAGCCCAAGGAGAGGGCAAGGAGCCTGGCCATCGTTAAGCAGTTGGCAGCATGGCAGTTTAACGAAGGAGTTGGTCTTCATCAGCAGTTGGTTGCCTATGAGGAAGCCCTGCGAAACTATGAGGCTGGACTCAAGGAGCCGTTGCGGTCCCAGATCCAGCTGAGGATGCGTGCCAACACAAGGTACAGCGAGATCAGGGAGTGGATTTTGCAGTATGAAAATGTTAATGCTCCCTGGAGCTCTTCTCTTCAGAAGGGTGGTGGCCAGGGAAATGGAGGACCTCATCCCCTGGATGTTGATCAAGTGGAAGCTTGGAAGGGAAAATCTGGCAAGAGCGGTAAAAAGGGCAAGGATAAGAAAGGCAAAGATAAGAAAGGCAAGCAGCAGCCATGGCACAGCGGCAAGCCGCAGCAGTGGCACGGCGGCAAGCAGCAGCAACAGTGGCAGACTGGCAAAGGCAGCAAAGGCAAGCATCAATATGGCTGGGGCAAGGGCAAAGGCAGTGACAATTCCCAATCGGGAAAAGGCTATGGCAGCAATTGGGACTTTCAGAAGCGGAAGAAAGCAAAGGGTATGGCGCTTGCAGTATTTGTGGCCAACACGGCCATTGGAAGAATGAGTGCCCAATGAATGGCAAAGGGCAGGGCGTCCGGCAGGTCGAGGATGTTCAATCCCAGTCGGGGCAGTCAGTGATAGCGCCCTCGGCTGCCTCAACAAGTGCCTCAGCCTACAGGACGCCAAGTTCTGTCCAGAGGGTCGAGGCGGTGCAGGAAGCTGCCTTGAACACCCCCCCTGGATGCCGGCAAACCTTGATCTTTGATATTTCTGAAGTTGACTGCGACCCCTGCGACTGTGAGACGTTTGGCTTGCCTAGCGTTATGGTGGTGAAAGGAGTTGCTCAGTAATTTTCTATGGATTCCACTGATGAAGATAAAAGCTGGGATATCTGGTCTCCTTCTGCTTTGGACTCAGACCTTCAGCCGGAGGTGGACTGTGATGCAAGGAAGGTGGCTGCAAGTGTGAATGTCATTGAGAATGGTGCTGGGTATCAACCTGCAATTGATGTTGTGGTGGACTCTGGCGCTGATGTGTCAGTGGCTCCCTTGTCCTTTAGACATTGCGGAGAACCGGCTGGGCAAACTGGGATTTTGATGTAGGATGCCCAGGGCAAGAGGATCCAGGAGGTTGGCTCCAGAATTTTGAGTGTGGCAGTCAATGATGTTGATGGCAGGCCAGTGCAGTTGAGGGAGCACTTCTCCATAGCCAACATCGGCTCAGTGATTCTTTCCCTAGGCCGGCTGATCAGAGGAGGCTGGAACTTGTCGCATGGCAGGTTCGGTCAGTGCTTGGTCAGAGATATGCACCATCCCAATTAGACTGCAGCGCAATACTTTAGTCATGGCTGCAGTGGTGTCGGCTATTGCCATGTTCGACTCTGGACCTCTTCCACCAGAAGCTGGGAAGTAGCCGCCCAGGCGGGGCGGCGTATCATGCCATCAGGCCTTCCTCTGAGGGTGGTTTATTGCGGAACCCTTCATTCTGTTGGAGGATTCTTTGTGGAGTGCTCATGACTGATCATGGGTGAGTGTCTTTGTGAGAAGAGAAGTGGGTGGCAGGCAACCTCAAGCTGGAGATGTGTGGCTTCAGGTACTCTCAATGAGCAGCCATGACTTCGAGAAGCACCATCGCCGGCTTGTACTCATTGATCCGCAACTGCGTTGTGAGCATGATCTTTGCATTCTCCTCCATGTCGAAGAGATTCCCTCCAACAGCTTGAGCGAGCCGGGGGAGCTGTTCTCTGCGCCATGTGAAATGGATCCTCCTTTCTTCCCTGCAGAAGAATGATTCTGGGTGTTCCTTGGTGTCTGTGGAAAGGAGTACAGGCTTGCACGAACATGTTCAAGAATGAGCCCACACGAACTATCAAAGTGAAGGATGTAGGCATTCAAGTTGACCGTGGCATGAGTGCTGCTGAAGAAAGGTTCACGCAGGAATGCGTCACCAAGTACAATGAAAATAAATCTTTGTGGCGTGAGGAAATGGCAAATTCTGCCAAGTGCGCAGAAGAGCTCAAAATGTGCAGAGAGGAAATGCGGAAGTTGGACAGGGAGCTCACAATTGTTCGACAGCGAGTAGGTGTGCCTAATGAGGTGTCAATAGCCACCAATCATGGCACTGTTTTCCGCAAGCCCCAGTGCCCTGCTCTCACATCAAGCTCTAAGACTAAGACTTACAGGCCATGTCATCAGTGTTTCGGAGCTTGAGGAGCAAATCCCCTAGCATTTTGCCAGGGGATTTGAGGCGGGGTGCTGGTCAGATTGCACTCAACAGTTGTGCATATGTAAGCATTGCTACATTCGCAGCCCTCGAAGTTGTGGAGTGAAAAGTGTTGCACATGTTGTACTGCACGCTGGCAGATCCAGGACAGACGAAAAAGAAAGAGGGAAAAGACAATGAGGTGGACCTTGAAGAGGGTCAGCAAGCTGACCCGCGCCGGTCTCACAGAACATTTCAGTACGAAGAACCTATTCGTCGCTACGACCACTACTGCAAGTGGCTCAAGAACGTGGTGGGGCTTTTGAACCACCGCGAGTTTATCGCGATGCTGGTGGGTTTAAGCTGCATTGGGGTTTTCGGAGGTTGCCTGGACTTATACCTCCTCGCCTTTGAGCTTGCAACGAAGGGCTTGCTGCAAAGCCAGATGCTGGTTGTAGTGCATTTGGCGTTCTGCATTGCGCTGCTCGCCATTGAGACACCGATGCTTCGGATTCACATTGGTCTCATTTCGAGAAACGAGCTGGCAAACGAATGGAAACACCACCAGAATTACATAGCCTTCGGCACAACGCAGGGACATGCCGTCCCTGTAGACGATCTGGAGCCCGAAGAGTACAACGACATCTTCGACAAGGGAAACTTCGTGTACGACCCCTCCAGAAACCCATGGGACTTTGGGTGCTGCACCAAGCAGGGGAGAGAGGGGAGTTCTGAACACCGGAGCATGCCATAGCATCCCCGTTGTTTCACGGTGTGGCTGCGCGGGGCCCATCTTGCTGGAAGAGTCGGGACTGCCGAAGTGTTGACCCTTCATCAAGGGACAGCTTAATTCTGGCCATCCCAAAGACCCTCATTGAGGGCTAGCCTGAAATCAAAAACTTACGTGGCTCAGCTGCGCATCCTGTTCACTCAGACTTCGATGAATTCCGTTGCCTTGAGATGAAGAGTTACGTGGCCCAGAATTCATGAGGTAGGTGCTTGGCCTTGTTTGCTACATCATCCGAGCTGGGGAGCCTTGCCATGCAGCTTGTCTGCTGCTGCTGCCTTGGCTCAGACCCGTAGGGGCACTTTTCAGTCACTTGGGCATAGGGGTCGGCGCGCTGCAGGCGCAGGCCTGGTGTTTGAGCATGCCTATTCTGTGGATTCATTTGGACTGACCAGTAAGTTTGCGCAATGTCTTCAAATCGTGTCTGCAAGGCTCCGGTGCCGATAGGCAAGCCGCTGCGCTGGCAAGCCGTGTGAGTTGTACAGACCAGGATTGCAGTGTTCCTTGTGGCTGAGTAGTTCAATCACAACACATCGCAACCAGCAAGGGGAGTCTCCAGTGATTGATGCACCTCTGCTACACTCCGGGCTGCCCACCTCTTTTGCCGAGAGTGCTGCAGGTTACCATGGTGGTGCTTTCAGCAGCCATCGTGAAGAAAGACAAGACCTTGGTGGCAAGTGAGCCTGGCATGTCAGTTGCGACGTGCCTCCCATCTTGATAATGATAAATTTTGAAACAAGCCTTCGAGTGGTCCACCTCTGCCAGGGCAGTTTGTGGAGATGACCCGGCTCCGAATTGAGGCTGGGTCCTGCACCTGCCGTGGCTCTATCAACGAGCCTAGCAACGTTCTTGCTGCCTTGCTGCTAGGGCCTGCTGGGTGCCTTCACCAAGCTGGTCGACAGTGGCAAAGACCATACCTTCGCCTCGGACCTATCAGTACAAACATGCATACATGAAGAGCCAACGTGCGCAAGTAGAGGTCGTCCTCACGTATTGCAGGATAGTTGTACTAGCTATCGGGCTGTGCGGTCGGAATCTGTGTGCTCAGTTGCTGGAGCAGGAGGAAGTTTGTCCCCTGCCCCCCAAGAAACGCAAGCGGCTCGCTCTTTGTAGGTCTGCATGTTTGTTGACCGCCTTTAGAAGCAACTACTGCTGGGATCAGGTCGAGACAGAGTCGCTGGCTGAGCTTCATGCAAGAAGTACCAGACCAGAAGTGTATGTGGTTCACGTTGTCACAGCTTCATGGTCTGATTAGTTCCTGGTTGCTCTTTGCAGCATGCAATCGCCTGCGAGAGCGGATACGAAGGTCCGTTCGCTACGTCTACCAGCCCATGGAGGCCCTCAGCCTCGTTGTCATCACAAACAAGGCGAGCAACATCCTGGAGGACCCACACGTTTGGCTGCGCAAAAAGGAAAAGCACAATTCGCAAACAAAGCCGCGTACCTTCAGCGCTTTTTGCCCTTCCCTTTGCGAAGCGGTTGTATGAACCTGCTTCATGCGCCGCAGGACCTGGAGACCCTTCGGCTGCTGGCCAAGGTGCTGCAAGAGAAGCTGAGAGAGTTGGTGAGGTGGTGTAATTCCGAATGACTTGACCCTCACTGCAAAATCTTTCAAGGACTTGCAAACACAGTGAACAGAACTGTGGAGTGGGGAAACGCTTGATAGCAGGTCGTCCAGGACTGCTGCGAGATCCAGGTCTCTGAGGAAAATGTGGGACCACTCAGATGTATGGCTTGTACTGAAGTTCAGTGAGTCAGAGTCTCTCAGTCGACAGCATCAGGGTGGGGATGTTGCAGGTTGAGGTTTCCTTTGGCCACATCTAAGCACTTCCACAGACCACAGCGGCAAACGATGGTGGAGTCCTGCTTATGAGAAATCTTGGAAACTTGACCCACTGGTCCTCCAACGAACCAGGAAGCCAAGCCCACAACCCAGCGTGCGCTGACACTTCAGAAGCCCTGTACGCCCAGGTGCTGAAACATGCCTTTGACATAGTTTTCGCCTTCGATGAGGCAATTCCGCATGAGTGGAACTGGGGTCTATGGAGCGTATACAGCACATGGAGCCCTTGCGACTGAAGTCTACCTTGTACCAGCCATGGGAGTTCAGACATGTTTTGCCGAGCAGTTAGGGCTTTCATCTCATGATTTAGGCATTGTGATGGTCTTGACACTGCCTTGCATTGACGTTCTAAGCCAGCGCTGAAACTGCAGATGTAAAAGATCACTGCCCTAAACCCTAGACCCTAAACCCCAAACCTCCCCAATACCCCAATACCCTAAGCCCCTAACCCTAAACCCTACACCCCTAAACCCTGACCCCCTAAATACCTTGTGGGCCTGTGGCGTAATGTAGCCATTCTGAAAGCTGGGTCAGGTCATCTCCTTCGGCTACCGCGAAAGCGCTGGAGCCTAGGCATTTACCTGCCAGGCCCAAGATGTGCAACTGTTAGAGGGTGCATCTTGCTTCAGATTTCCGATCTGTTTTATTGTTTGCATTTTCTGAAGCATGCTCCTCTTTTTGTTTCTGGCTTTAAGACTTCGGTCACTGTTCGTTGGTCGCTGTTCTGCTTACCGCAGTTGCTTCTTCGCTCATGCGTCTTGCTGCTTCCTTTCTTAACCCTCCGTCTTTCCTTTCTTCTTTGTTTTCAGAACGGGGTTTTACTTGTCTCTACTTTTTGCTGGCCAAAGGTTGGTCCCTCTGTCTCATGTTATTTGATGCCCTTCAATGAGCCATGCAAAAACCCAGCTCAGTTTCCCTGAGCGGAGCATGAAGGTGATTGGAAAGCTTGCCGGTGGAGCCATTGTTGGGATTTTTGGTTTCAAGCCCTCCGAGGTCACGCTGTCTCAGATTAAGACCTACACAGAGATGGACAGTCATGAAGAAAGACTGCACGGGAGCTCAGCATACCGCTTCCAAACGAGGTGTTGGCTCCTAAGCGTGCGTTGCAGTCCTTGTTGTGACTTGTGCCGCAACCGAGGCACATGATGGTGGAGCAGAGCAAGATAAATGAGGCACTTTTGGACTCTTCCGATTGCTCTGCTGGCAGAAGATTGGCATCGTAGCGCAGGCCAGAGAAATGGCCAAGAAAAAGCAGATGGAGCTTGACGGGCCCTCAACCGACTCCTTTCTGCAGTGTCCTGCTTTAGGCATTATGGAGGGACAACTAGATTTGTGGATTCTTTCGAGGCCAAGCAGCGTGCCCTCCAGCCCAAGGATGCTGCGGGTCCTGGCTTTGGCAGCCAGAGTCCCAAAGATGGTAGCCAGTGCTGAATACCGAAGATCTAAGCTTGATGCATCTAGGAAGCTGTGAAAGCAAGGGATCACCCCACAAGTAGCAGCCCAGAGTGCTAGCAACATATTTGAAAGTAGAAGCCCTGCGTATCCTTGCTTGTCCGCAGGCGACTCGCTGCCGGGCATCGGTCCGAGCAGCATGGGCCACTTGTCCTTCAGCTGGCTTCAAGTGCTGACAGGGCACTTGGGCTTTTAGTCATCAAACCCTGGTTTTCCATGCCAAGTGTCTTAAACTGCAAGTTTTTGCAGCGGCTTAGCTCTTGAGCTTTACTCGAAGAGCAACTTTCACTCTGCAGGGACGTGTCCTCTGACTATGAATAGCACGGTTTTGCTTAGGTGGCAGCTCCTTCCAGGATTCGATGCCGTCGATGGGAGGAGGTTTATCAGCTGCAATATCAAGTCTGATGCTGTCCTCATTCCAGGTCTCACAGCCACATGTGAGCTACAGCCTAAATTCCTTAAGGGAGTGTTATATAGGGGATTTTGATAGAGGCTATTAAGGGGGATACTGGGATTTTGGACTATAGCTCATGTGACCTTAGTGTTGCTACTGTGTTGCCCGGACGGTCACAAAGGTGCCTCCTTTGGCAACGACACTAGCGCACCATGGTCTAGCTCCATGGCAGAGGACCCAGCCTTTCTTCCAAAAAACTACTGATAGGGATTGGGGTTGTTAGAGGTTGTATGGGGGTTGTATGTGGGTTATAGAGGGAACAATGGAAAAGAACTTGGAAGTTTCTTTTTTTTTGGTCTGATCTTGAGATTCTTGAGCAGATGTCCGGGAGTACAACATGGCCATCTTCGAAGGTAAAGAGTATTCCGAAATCGGGGTAATATGCCATAGTATACCATAGATATAAGATACCATAATGTACTCTAATATGCCAAATTTTTTTTATGATATACCATAATGTACCATTAGTATGCCTGGGAGGACTCTGGCCCGGCGCCACTGAAACCTGGGGCACCAAAGAAGGGCATGGCCACGGCCCCAAAGCAAGAACATGCTGGCAAAATTCTTCCAAAGTTAAGGGATCTTAGGAGGGCATTACGGTACGTAACCCCCTACAATCAGGTAGTCCCCAATATGATAACCTGCAGGGTCTGAATGAAGGGGGTCCCTGGTAAAGCCGCCAGATACAGTGCAGTCACGGCATCAGAGCTCCTGAATTTGACATGGAAATCGCTTTGTTCCTGAAAGTGGCACAGGGCTTCATGGTGAGGCACAGATCATGAACATTGCTTTGGGGTGAGGGTACCAGCCGTGTAATGTAAGGCGCTGGGCAAGAAAAAGAACGCAGATGTGCTTGGAAGCCTGGTCCCCAGCGGAATGTTTGAAGACTCTCCGCCAACGCCTACCCATGAGCAAGATTCTCCTGCACATGATCGCAAATCGATTTACTGCGAGTGTTGCGATTGCCAGTACCACCCCCCCTCCCTAATTTCGAGGACCTCAGCTAGACCCAGCAAATGGGACTGCATGAGGCATGGGCATTTCTGCTGAGCCCACCCCGTCCCCTGAGGCGTGATATACACTTTCCAGGACGTTTTGCTCTAGTTGGTTGCTTTCATTTCCGGGGCATGTTTTTTTTTTAAGCATTGCGCGATGGCAGTTGATCATGCAAAGTTCTTGTGCTGATGCTTATTGGTTTTTAGCTCAATGCAAACACGCTGAGTTGACAAGAAGGCACCTGAATCTTGTGGCATCTCTGACAGGCGGTGGCTGAAGAGCCTGCAGCTGCGATCTCAGGCGAACTTGCCAGTCACTGCGCGGGGTCGCGTCTCATTTCGTAACAGTTCGAGATGGAAGCTTTGACTGGCAGAAATTGCAAGTCCAGATCCTAAACTGCAGCTCGCCCTCCGTGCCCCACTTGAGGTCCTAGAATCCTAAACCTCAAAGCCCCCAACCTGCCTGTGGATGGCTCCGCTGAGGCTCCGGCATACAATCCTTTGTCCGTAGCCCAGCAAATCCCAGCGATCTGAGGGATAGTCCAGCCTAGCATGTGCTGCTATGAAAGTGTAGGCCCAGGCAGGAGCAGGTTGAAGCGCACAGCTTGTTCGGCAGTGATGAAATACGAGCAGCGACACCAGAGGGATTACTTAGAACTGCAGTGGTTGAAAGGATGGACCCCGTGAGAGTGGACATCGAGGCCTAGTCAGCTTGTCCGCATGATTCACTGCTTGGCTCCAAAGTCATGGCAACTTTCTCTTTGACCATGGTGCTGACCTGTGTGTCGTGAAAGATCATGTCCGCTCCGTTGAGAGCCTGCCGTTCGCTTTTGAAGTCATGGCTCAGGGTTCAGAGTTCTATGGAAGAGAAGCCATCTAATGCATCCAGTCCAGGTTGGCTTCCGCAGATGGTCTGTTGGAGTTGTAGCACAAGATTCCAGTACACATTGCATGGAGGTATTCTCAATGCAAAAGCATTGAGCTGCAGAAGCCCTGAACATGCAAATCCACCAGACGCACACGGGCAAGCCAATCAGACCTGCAAGGAGAAGATCACTGCAGATCTGCAAGTTGAGGGCGGGTGCGCCTTCCTCCGTGGCATGCATGTTGTCGTTGCGTCGGTTGAACAGAAAGTCCTTCACGAAGCCACTGGCCAGGCTGGAGGGCGAAGCCGTTTGCACCGGCCAGTTTCAGGCGAGTATCCACATTGTGTTGGCTGCGACAGTGCTGCTGTGAGCTTTGAGCTGCTTCAAGCATTTGCATGTTGTCTGTACCCTGCCATGCCGCCAGGTCACGGTGCTTGACGCGTCCAAGGCTGACCTGGCCGCCTTCAGGCCCCTTTTGCGTTGCACATGCCAGCAAGGCAGGCTTGAAAGATCCACATAGGAGGAAAGATGCAGCACAGGTGAGTGGGCAGAGTAGAACAGCAGACATCAAGACATCCTGGCCTTCGTATTGCTGAAGAAAGCTTTGCTCCACATGCTGGATGCCACCATTGCGAGGTTGGCTCCGCAGAACCAGGAGTTCAGGTACAAGGCGTGTATGTAATCTTGCCGTTGCATTTGGGCAATGCTTGGCACAGTTCTGCCTCATTGCCTCCTTAAGAACTTGTTGCATTGCAGCGCTGCAGATTCATCCGAACCTGAACAAGACGCTTGTGCCCCAGTGAATGTGACGGAAACTCCCATTCACGTTTGGATTGTTTCCACGTCACGGTGGCTTGAGGACGTTTCGTCTTAAGATGAAGTTGTTTCTTGGAGAGTTTGGTTGAATAAAATATTGCCACAACCGCCCGCAGAGGTCCTAGCACATCAAGAGGATACTATAATAGACTATAATTAACTGTAACAGACTATAATGTATGTATGACACTATTGTTATTACTATTACTAGTGCCAGTACTGTTACTACTATTAATTCTTTTGTGTTAGATTTTTCTACTAACACTATTACTACTATTATTATAATTGCTACTGTTACTATTACTACATATGACACTCCTCCCTCAACTGAGGTCGCATGCGAACAATGTCCTCGAGGTTCGCGAGGCGGGGAGTGTCAACTCTAAGTGTCTGCCAAAACCCCGAATCGTAGTAGAAATGTTAGAAATAACAGTAGTAACAATAGTAATAAACATAGCAATAACAGCAGTAATAGTATTAGTAGCAATAAGTAGTAACAATAGTAATAAACATAGCAATAACAGCAGTAATAGTATTAGTAGCAAGAATGTAATAAAATCCTCTGCAATTGGCTTCACGCACCCGAGTGTTCAGAGCAGGCCTCGCGTGCCTATCGGGCGAACGCGCCCGTGCCACTTGTGAAGTGGCAGCTGGGAGCCCGGCTAAGGGTTCGGGGAGCGTTTGAGGGCAAGCATGGGCGAGCGCGCCTCATACAATCCCTCCTACACGGTTCTGGGAGCTCATGATCAACTCCGAGTCCGGCAGTAGGTTCTGGGACAGAACGGGGTCTATGCGTTCAAGGCTTCTTCGTGCTCTAAGTATGCAGTTCCCGTTCTGATAGCTGCAGCCTGTGCGTTGCCCTGAAGCATTGTTTTGTACACTTTGTAACGGAGGGTCGGCAGCCGAGGCTATGACCTGAGAAGCATTCTCGCTGGCATGAGGAGTTTTTCAACAGCCTACTAGATTGTCAGGTACAAGAGCAGCAACGAAGACTTTCTGCCTGTGCACCGAGCTCGGACTGGCTCCTGCATTTTGCAGTTATTGCCATTATAGTTCCCTGGTTCTTCGCAATGTTCAATTCTACGGCAGCCATACTCATGGCCTCGTGCGCTCCAGCGCAGTGATCTCTGACATCACTGAGCCATCCACGCAGGCAGATCAGCTGCTGGCCGTCCACCACGGCGGCGGGATGCTCAGCAATCAGCATGCTTTGCCAGTGCTGCTGTGTTCCTGCAGATCATGTGAGCACTACAAGGATGGCACGCAAATCGTTGTAGAGCTGGAGCTGACAGACACGAGCATCACGCTCGAGGTGGGCACTTAATTTACGGCTCCCAAACATCTGTTGCGCTTTTAGTCTCTCTCTATGCGCGCCACACATTCAGCAGCCTAAGCTGAGGAACAGTTGACAGCCAACCATGCTCAATTACTAGGATGCTTCCTCACCTGAGGCCCGGCAGGGCACTACAATACTCCCATGAAATAAGCTACTGCCAATGCCAGGCTTGCCAAGGGACCATGCAGAGTGGACGTAAGGGGTCCCTTTAGTCCCCGAGGAAACAACTGTACTCCCTGAAAGGAATCCATGTCCATCAAGTAGATGGGAAAACGACTGTAGCTCATACGAAGCCTGGTCTCTGAAAGCTTGCTCAACTGGAAGGATGTCCAGATCAAGTTTCCGGCTGCGGCATCCTCTAGGCCCGTTGTCCAGGGAAGAGCTAGCGCAACTGACATGAGAGTTTCGCTGTGGAAGGGTCAAATCCACCTTGTTTGGTTGTCTCTGCCGATGTCTGCTGCTGATGAACTCGAGGAAACCCTAATTCTCATCTGATCTGCGAGATCTGCAGAGAGTGATCCCATGTCTGAAGCAGAGCTCGCAGGGTTGTTGACTTTTTGTCGAATTGTTTGGCCCCTGTGCCTTCACTCTTGGTGGCAACAACCCGCATCCATCAGAACTGCCTTCATGACCAGCGCTGAACATCGGTTGCAAGAAGCCATGTGACACGTTGGGCAGCTGACGCCAAGCTTGCGGCGGGACTCCTTGTTGGTCGACAGCATGTCCGGTACCGCTTGTGATGAGCAGCAAGGAAACCCTAATTCTCATCTGATCCAAGGTGAAGCTGACCCTCCCTTGTGCCTGATGCGGCGCATGTGTTCTTGTGTCATGATGTTGGGCGTTGACGTGACCTCCTCTCAGTGTTGGCTCGCTGGTGTGGAGGCCCTCCAGAGGTCTCTGAGTGTGCTGTAGAAATTGGAACATGCTGAATCACAGGCGGGGTCCAGGCGCTGCCAGAGATGAGCTGTGGTGAACCCTAATTCTCTTCTGATCGGCAAGATCTGCAGACACCCATCCATACGTCTGAGGCAGTGCCGGCTCTGGGTTGTCTTCACATCATCTGGGCTTTGGTTCAACACCTGGAACCCTAAACCAGAACAAACAGTGCACAGCCTGAAGATGTACTTGTAATCCTCATCCGTGCCATGACCGCTTTGCTCTTTTAGAAAGTTGTTGAGGGTCAGGCGAAGTGATCTTTCATTAAGGGTCACTCAGCAAAATCATTGACTAGGCCCCCAGCGTCAGGCTTGCAGGATCTTGCAGACATGCGGCATGACATGGCACGACCTTGCCAGTGTGGCCCCGCAGCCAGGCCTCAAGTTTCCAGCGCCGAGCCTGGCGAGGCAAGCTATGATGGCCAGAGCGAGGTGCGGGCAAGTTGGGGAGGGGGGAAGCCCGGAAGGGGTGGGGGTTCAATTTGGCTAAATTAGCTCCCGCAAGCATTGCACGGTTGTTTCTGGTGCAGATGCTGGGGCTTGGGATACGAGTTGAAGTGTGATGGAAGGTAGAAAACTCACTCAGCATAATCCATGCCCGGCAAGGAGGGAATAGGCGCAAGGCGCAATATCAACACCATCTGGGAGATCATTAGCTCCATTCCTCTACTTGATCCTGATCTTGCTAGATGCGTTTCCTGAGCGCAGGTTTGGAGCGCACAAGACATAATCTTTTGACGGTTGCTGGGTACCAAATCGGGCAACCATCAAAAAAGACCCAGCTACAATAAGGATATTTTGTGGGTAGAGGGGTTGCTTGTGACTTCTCCCGGGGGTCGCTTNNATGCAGAACTGTCGTCCTTTTCGGAATTGTGATTCCTCGACACCTTCCAGTAGCAGGCGTGTGCTCCTTGTAAAATGCATAACTGTCGTCGTTTTTGGATTTGTGATTCCTCGACCCTTGAATGTTGCGTGCGTGTTCGCCTCGTAAAACAGTCGTCGTTTTCGGAACTTTGATTCTTCGACCTTTGATAGTTGCGGTCGTGCTCGCCTTGTAAACTCCAGAAGTGTCGCCGGCTAAGGAGTTTTGATTCCTCGACCCCCCCACTCAAACCGTGAACCCTAACGCTGGACTCCATACAAAGGTCTTCTTTGTTGTGGGGCACTGGGGTCTTCATCATGGCCGCAACCAGCGTATGGTTCCCACGCCCAACCTCACAAAACCGGAAGGCGTGGACACCAACTCTTGGCGGGAAGTCCTCGAGAAACAATTCCTGAAGCTGGCCGCCTCGTGGACCTTCTGTTGTGACGCGAACCCTGATGAAGACTGGCCGGCGCTTTCCAATTTGGCCTCTATGGCAACCATCAAGGCTGCCGGCCACTTTGAGCATGTTGTTTGTACGCAGGGGTGCCGGCCTAAGGGCTCCATGCTTGTGGTTGATCACCATAGCAACAAGGCGAGCCCTGCCAAAGCGGACACAGTCAAGGCTCAAAAGCTTGACTGCTTCATTGCGCGGCTTTGCGAGCTGCAACGACAAGAAGCTCAGGGCAAGGTTGACGAGCGGTTTCGGGCTTGTGCCACCGCCCCCTGGACGCACGAAATTTCCCGGGGTCTGCCCCTCCAGCAGGCCAAGGAAGCGGCGGAGGACATGAGAAGCAACTTGGCTAGGGAAGGGCGCAACCGCGCACTTGCTAAGTGGCGTGACCGCATCAGGCAGGGTGGTCGTAAGTGCACTGAGTGGCTCAAGCAACGCAGAATGCTCCCTCAGGCCGCGGTGACACATGAAGGCAGGGTCTCAACGTCGCATAGCGACTCCATCGCTCTCGTCAAACAGGACTGGATACGCGTGTGGCACCGACAAGCCCTATGCCCCGAGCTTCGGCGGCTGCAGTCAGAGGGCTCGAGCACGACTTCCCGGTGCTTTGACCAGGACCCGGCTTTCGATGCACAGGAGCTCCTTTCCCAGGCACAGCATGGCACACATGGCGCGGCAGGTCCTGATGGTTGGACTTCTGAGGAGGTCTCGCACCTCCCGCTTCACTACTGGGTGCTTATAGCTAGGGTTGTTAACAAGTGGCTCGGGCAGGGCAAGTTCCCTAGTGTGTGGCTTCACTGTCGTATGATAATGCTCCTTAAAGACGAGTTTGATGTCCTCAGTGGCCCTGTGCCAGTCTCCAAGCTGCGACCCATTGCGGTCTTTCCGGTCCATGACCGCATACTCAGTTCCTGTATGGCCAGCAGGGCTAGCACTCAGGAATGGCTGCAGCAACGGACGCCTCCGTGGACTCACGGAGCCCTCAAAGGTCGCAGCGCGACTGACGCGCTGGCTAGGCTTGAGGAAGCGTTCCACAAGGATCCTCACGCCATTCTTGTCAGCCTGGATCAGAAGCAGCGCTTTGACCATGTCCACGCTGCTCTGGGAGTAGCAAAGCTGCAACAGGCCGGCTGGCCTTCTCAATGGGCGGGCCTGCTAAGGTTTGTGTGGCAGGAACAGCCTAGATGGGTGCAGATTGGTGGGCATTGCGCCTCCCATGCTGAAGAGGTCAGCACCTTGGTTCCGCAAGGCTGTGCCTGCGCGCCTTTGGCGCTTGTGGTCCTTTTGGCAGGCTTCGCGTGAAAGTAATGCAGTTGTTGGCAACCCAGCTTCCGCTCTTGCCTACATCCGTAGGTGGGAACTGGCCAGCAGCAGCGTGGGGCTACAGGAGAACTGTGACAAGCTTCGGATTGTTTGCAGGGGCTGAGGATGAAGCAGCCCTCCTCAGTTTGGGGGTTCCCGCTGAGGCCATAGTGCCCACTACTAAGGTGCTTGGCGTTGACTTCTCTAGAATCCCGGGCACGGGGCCTGTCGCGGCCAGCCGTGACGCAGCTGCGGAACAAATGGTGGCGAGACTTGCCACCATGCCGTTCCCGCCCGCTTTTAGGGAAGACTTGTTTCGCGCCAGGATCGCACCCCTTTTGGCCTGGCGCGCGTGGTGGGAGCCTGTGGACGAGCACACGCTTGGCGAGCAGTGGACCACTAAGTTGCGTAAGGCATTTGGGGTTGCTAAAGCGGTTTCTCGGCACTTGTGGAAACTCCTCACTGGGGTGCACGTTGAAATGGGCCCGGCGATTGACGTCGCAGGGCTTACACACTTTGCCCGGGCATGCGCTTACTGGCTAGGCAGTGGCGTGGCGCTCAGACGGGGCAGGTGGCACGCACGGGCGGCTGTGCTTATGAGTGGGGCTGGTTTTCAGGAGCAACGTCCGGGCCTGTGGCAAGACTCGCATGGAGTAGTGTGCAGGTGGGAGCAACCCCACATGAAGCCTGACATGGACCGTGTTGCTCATATGCTGCGTGAGCTTCGCAGGAGAGAGCAATTTCAGGCTTTCCTGCACCATGCCAGACGAGAGCAAGCAGAGGCTCTCAGTGCAGGGGTGGTCTATGATGAGGGCGTCTGTAAAACCGCAAGGGCACTGTATGCTAAAGCGACTAAGGAGCAGCGACGGGTCATGCTGGGTGCCTCATACTCGGTGGCCGCTTATGATAAGGTTCGAAGGGGTGCCGGTAAGCATGACGAGGTCCACGTTCGGGCTTGCCCGTACTGTGCGGCCAGCCTGTTGTGCCGGGCTGGCAGCATCTTAGCTGGGAGTGCCCCAGCTTTTCCCTGGACCGTCCTGTGGCCCTTGCTTACGTACTGTCCAGGAGCCTTGGATGGCCTGGCCCAGGTGAAGGGAAGACTGCTGCAGCTCCGCGGCTTGTTTTTCTTGCTGGGGTTCGCGCGCGGATTCGGGTTGGGCTTGGTGTTTGGGCTTTCAGGGACGGGGTTGCGCCGCGGGGCGCGGCTTAGGTAGTGGGGTCTTGTTTTGCGACGGGGTTTATGCACTGCGGCCCTTGTGCAGGAGCGCTCGGGGTCGCGTTCATCAACTCAAACTCATACATGTGACCTCGTAACCCCTAACCCCGCTGAGAAGATCCCAGCCCGGGCCGGTTTTGGGGGAAGATATTCATGTACTCATTTCCCGGAAAACGTGCTCTACCTGCAACACTGTAGGCCCAAAACCTTCACTCCTGAAGCCTTGGCCCCAAGCGGTACACATGGCGAACACTGACCCCCAACCACATCCCCTAACACCTATAGGCCCTTCGGATTGAGGGTTTAGGGTTTAGGGTTTAGGAAAGTTGACAAGGCCTTCACCCTGAATCGTTGCAGTCTTGGGCCCCGAGCCCAAAACACGCGAGCATTTAGCATGAAAACATGCCAGCCCAGACCCCAGTTTTCAGAAAATCTTCATGTATTTATTTCCCGAAAACTGTGCCCTACCTGCAACATATATAAGCTCAAAACCTTCACCCTAAATCGTTGAATGAATTCGTGGACCCCGAACCCCAAAACCGCGAACATTGACTCTGAAAACATGCCAGCCCAAGGGCCAGTTTTCAGGGAACAAATCGTATATTTATTTCCCGGAAAAACGGGCTCCACCTGACTCACGCCCTGAATGGTGGAAACCGTAGCCCTTGGCCTCGTCAACAAGAATCCAATCCCTGAACCCAAGCCCAACGCATTGAAACCTGACCCGACTAAACCCTAAACCCCCCCAAGCCTTAAAGCCTGAACCCGAAACCCCGTGACCTTAAACCTTAAAACCCTAAAGCGCGAATGTAGCCTTAGCCCTAAACCCTAGATACCCGTAACTGAGACCTAAATGTTAAACCCTAACTTAAGCCTGTGAGCCCTGAACAGTAAGCAACCACAAACCCCCGCTGTGAGAGGCCCTTGGATTCAGACCCAAAACCCAAAACCTTGTCCTAAACTGTAAGACCTCAGAAGCCCTGAACCCTGTAACCCTAAACCCTAACCCTAGAAAACCGTGTTGCCCCCAATCCCTGAAACCTTACCCTGAACCCTAAGCCCGTAAGCCCTACCTTAAACCTTAAACCCTAAATCCTAAACCTTAAGCCCCCCACTTTAAGCATGAGGCGCTATTCGCTGAGACGTGTCGCAAACTTGCGTTTTTGAGACAGAGAACTCGCCTGAACCCTACACCCCGTGACCTTAGCCCTAATCCCTGAACCGCAAACCCTGAACCGTGAACCTAGCCCTAACCCTAAACCCTGGAGATGCGTGACCTGAAACCTAAATGTTATTGAGCTTCAGCCCTGGACATTACATCCAAAGCCTGTAAGCCCTGAGCCCTAAACAGCTATAAGCCCTCACCGTGAAAGGCCCCCCTATAATCCCTGAACCCGCAAGCCTAAACCTTAGACCCTAAGCCCCAAACCCTGTCCTAAACCTAAACTTCTTAGCCCCAAACCCTAACCTTAAAGTGTGAGGTGTTATGTGCTGAGACCAATTTCGTTTTTTGAAAAGGAGAAGTCGCAAGTGATCCCGAGCATTTTTGCTGAGACGTGTCACAAATACGCCTTTTTTAACAGTCGCAAGTGATAAACTCAATTCCTTGAAGGGGTTATAGAGGGGATAATAATATAGGGGACTCTTATCAGGGTTATTGAGGGGGCTCGTTTGTCAGGTCTGCTGGAGAATCCCCGTCCTTGACAAGAGTGAGCCATGAGCTTAGAGCAGCTGATTCATCTTGATTCATCGTGATTCCAGAGGAGTACTAGTTTATGTGGGGGATACGATGGTTCCCAAAATAGGGTAAGATTATATCCTCCTTTGGATATGATCTTACTTGGTTCAGCTACCAAAAATGCTAGTCAAATGTGTCCCAAGAGTACCTCAACCGGTGCAGTGACAGTGAACAATTATGTTTTTCTAGCCTGAGCCCTCATGCAGCAAAATTTGTTGGGTCCTTTCGGACACCTGAGGGGCTCCACTGCCAAGCAGGTTACAGGATGAGCCAGTGCAAGTATGTGCAAGTCATGCCTCTAAGGACCAACGGCACCCTCGAGTTTGTGGCGAAGACAGATTCTGCATCGCTGCTGCTGCCATCTTGGATTCTTGCATGGGAGAGTGTACGGGCATGCCGATGGCAGTGAGGACTCATGGTATCAATTTGTGATAGGCCTTTGGAGAGGAATCCATGTCCCGTTCTGCCTTGCAGTGTGTCCGCCCAGGCCCTTTACCTTTGATGCCGTTAGGCCTTGCAGCTTTCTGCAATTTGCTGAGAAAGCCAGCGCGCAAGTGTTCATGTAGACCGACATGTGCGTCGAGTGGGTTCACAAGGTGCTGTTTACAAGCTGCCTTCAAAGCTCCGAAGTGAATTACATTGGCCCAACAAAGCATGGTTTGGCGCGAACAGGCGGGGCGCTACAAAGTGTCCCATGGAGATCGCGGAGTGCTACCACATGGAGAAGAAGGACTCAAACAATTATCAGAACCTGAAGCAGTTGATTGTGATGTGCGCTTGTAGGTCTGGGCTTTCCAGGTCAAGGTGAAACAACTGGCACCTTCGTACTTGCATGTGCTCCGCTGACCCCTGACAAGCTATTGGTCGCTCGGCTTGGGGGAAGATGAAAAGTGCTTCTAGTTTCTTGGCACAGCTCCAGCTGAACTTCGCAGGACGCTATAGCCTTCACGTGTGAAAAGGCGCCTTGACGGGTATGTCCTGCCTCATCTTGCCAAGATCAGCTGCATGAGCGCGGCTGAAATGCACTTGAGCACCTTTGCCTTGACGTCAGTCGTCCACCTACTCCTTCCGGGCCCGGCACCGAGATGAGTGCTTGAAGTTGACTTCCAGGTTAGCTCCAAAGTCTTTGACACTTCACTGATAAGGAGTGCGGCAGAGTTGTGTCAGCAAGGTTCTGTTAAATGACTGTTCTTCTCGTTGTGGGAGGGGCATTGAGATTGCGGCACCACCAGGAGTCGCAAACCTTTTGCGTGAAAGTTGCTTTTGAATCCTTGAAGCTCTACGCTTAAGAAGATCCCCAAATCTCGTCATTTGCTGCTTCAGAAGATGCAATATGAACTGTGCATGCAGATCGGGGCGTGACGCGATTCGTCCACTGAACCGCCTTACCCTTGAGGCACGCGGATCAAAAAGATGATGGAAGGGAGTTGATATGAAATTTCATTAGAATGTATCCCTCAGGTACAAGGAGAAATGATAATTCTTCAACAACAATGATTTCGAGCAGAAGCACTCATCAATAATCATAGGATCTTATTATTGAAGTATATATATTATATAAGATATTAAGATAAATAATAATTCTAGAAATAGTAAGAACAATGATTGAAGATTATTTTCTGAGATTTTTGATCTAGATTAAATTTCAGAATTTTCTTTTATTTCTTTGTTGATTTTCGAAGAAAATAGATTTAATTTCTCGATTAATTATTTTATGCTGCTGATAGTTGATATAGATATTATATTAATTATTATAGCTCAATATTACGGCGCGGCTACTGAGAGATATTTCGAACGCGCGCATTCAATTTTTCCGGCTTACTTCTAAAATATCTCCTGCGGACTCTTTAGGAGTTCTAAAATTCTCGGAGGTTTTTAGATTTCTTCAGAATATATAAAGTTGCGGGCGGGGCGATGAAAATATCTCGGAGATTTTTGGTCGGGGAACGTTTTTCGCGTGATTTAATTATTTTTTTTATTCGTGCGGGATTATTCGATAGAATATGTAACATCGATATAATCGTATTTATGACTGCTCTCCCCGATATATCGCGTAATAATTAATTCTTAGTAATAATTAAGCTTTAGCCTAAATGAGATAAATGAAATTAAAAGATCGAGCTGGAGACTGTACATCGTGCGAATAAGTATTTCTGAGATTTCGAATTGTTTTTTTCTCTTTGGCTTTGCGCAACGATTCGGCGGAAGATATAGGTCTGAAATGGAGAATTAAGAATTTTTTTATTTCTAAAGATTATCCATTTTTGATCAAAAATACCCGCGACTAGGAAGAATATTGCTTATTATACTAGATTCTTATAGAAAGATTTGATGATATTCAGCTAGGAGATAAGGAGTCATTATATGATATTATATGAATTATCTAAAGGATAGACTCTCCGAGATTCCGGCTCTATCCGCCAGGGAAATAGAGCCACCCCATGATTCGGAATTCGAATTGAAATTTCTAATTGATATATCCGCAGAAGAATAGATACGAATAGATACGTATAAATTGGAGATAGAAATATATCGTAATAGATTGCCTGGGAAATCTTCGGCAGAATCTCAGATATCTTTCTAAATCCTCTTAGATTCCAATCTATAAACCCGCCCCTTCAGGAATGCCTC